TCATTTGTGAGGGCTTATTACTTGTCATTTCCATATATCATGAATAAAGACATTGGACGTTTTTTGCATTTCAAATCTTGTGCTCCCTTTCTTTCTTTATATATTGCAAAACAGCTATATTTACACACACTCACCCATACAGGTTTTAATCCACTCTGGATCTCACTGGTAATGACTCTGCTACTGCCAGTTATGACTTCGAAAATCCGATCAACTTAGCCGAAGACGAAGGTGAAGATGATTGCGAAGTGCCTGGCGAGCTTGCAAGACTGTTACTCCAGGAGGAGAGGGCCATTCAGCCACATGAAGAGCCAGTGGAAACGGTAAATCTGGGTACTGAGACAGATAGAAAGGAAGTTAAGATTGGTGCCAATCTGGAGCTCAGCGTGAAACAACGGTTGATTCAGATGTTGCATGATTATGTGGAAATCTTCGCCTGGTCTTACGAAGACATGCCTGGGTTGGATACTGACATTGTGGTCCATCACTTGCCTACCAAGGAAGACTGCCCTCCGGTTAAGCAGAAGGTCCGCCGTATGCGTCTAGAGATGTCCGAGAAGATCAAAGCTGAGGTTATGAAGCAATTTGATGCCGGGTTTCTAGCAGTGACTTCTTACCCTCAGTGGGTCGCCAACGTGGTTCCGGTGCCAAAGAAAGATGGTAAGGTCAGAATGTGTGTTGACTACAGGGATTTGAATATGGCCAGCCCCAAGGATGATTTCCCTCTACCTCACATCGACGTTCTGGTCGACAATACTGCTCAGCATAAGGTGTTCTCCTTCATGGACGGCTTTTCAGGTTATAATCAGATCAAGATGGCTCCTGAAGATATGGAAAAGACTACCTTTGTTACTCAGTGGGGCACCTTCTGTTACAAGGTCATGCCATTCGGGTTGAAAAATGCTGGGGCAACCTACCAACGTGCCATGGTTGCTTTATTTCATGACATGATTCATCATGAGATAGAAGTATATGTTGACGATATGATTGCAAGGTCCCAAACTGAGGAGGAACACCTTGACCATCTGCAGAAGCTGTTTGACCGGTTGAAGTTGTACAAGCTGAGGTTGAACCCGAACAAGTGCACCTTCGGGGTAAGATCTGGAAAGTTGCTAGGCTTCGTCGTGAGTGACAAAGGTATTCAAGTGGACCCTGCCAAGGTTAAAGCCATACAAGAGATTCCAGTTCCCAAGACAGAGAAAGAAGTCAGAGGCTTTCTAGGATGTTTGAATTACATTACCTGATTCATCTCGCACCTAACTGCTACTTGTGAACCCATCTTCAAGCTACTGAAGAAAGATCAAGTAGTACGTTGGAACGATGAATGTCAGGCCGCTTTCGACAGAATCAAAGAGTATCTCCAAAAACCACCCATTCTTATGCTGCCGGTTGAAGGGAGACCTCTAATCTTATACTTGACGGTACTTGACAGCTCGATGGGGTGTGTGCTGGGGCAGCATGACGAGTCTGGCCGAAAAGAGCACGCCATTTATTACCTTAGCAAAAAGTTTACCGACTGTGAGACCCGATACTCACTGCTCGAGAAAACTTGCTGCGCTTTGGTATGGTCTGCTCGGCGGCTGAGACAGTATATGCTGACTCACACTACTCTGTTGATTTCAAAAATGGATCCGATCAAGTACATATTCGAAAAGCCTGCTCTGTCTGGAAGAATAGCAAGATGGCAGATGATCTTGACAGAATACGACATCCAGTACACGACTCAGAAGGCAATCAAGGGAAGTGTATTAGCAGACCATTTGGCACACCAGGCAGTGGACGACTACCAGTCAATGAACTTTGAATTTCCTGATGAGAACATCATGATAGTGACTGATTGTGAAGTGCCTGGACCGGATGAAGGACCTGAGGAAGGATCCCGATGGTCTATGCACTTTGACGGAGCCTCCAACGCTTTGGGTAATGGTATCGGCGCCGTGATCATATCCCCTCAAGGCACTCATACTCCACTTACCGCCCGGCTATGTTTCAACTGCACCAACAACATGGCGGAGTATGAGGCATGTATCATGGGTCTTCAAGCTGCGATTGACTTAAGGATCAAGTTTCTGAGTGTCTTCGGAGATTCCTCTCTCGTGGTCAATCAGATCAAAGGCGAGTGGGATACGAAACACCCAAACCTTATTCCTTACAAAGAGTGTGTGTTGACGTTGATCCCCCATTTCACAGAGATAACTTTTGAACACTTCCCAAGAGAGGAGAATCAGTTGGCGGACGCACTGGCTACGATGTCTTCTATGTTCATAGTCAAATGGGACAATGAGGCTCCCAGGATCTTCATCTGGAATATGGATGAACCTGCATATTGTTGTGATCTTGAGGCTGAGGTGGTAACTGAAAAACCCTGGTATCATGAAGTGAAGAGATACTTGGAAGCTCTAGAATACCCCGACGGTGCATCTGTCAATGACAAAAAGTTTCTGAGAAGGTTCGCAGCGAAGTTCTTCCTCAGCGACGGCATTCTGTACAAGAGGAACCATGATTCAACCTTACTGCGTTGTGTGGATAAGACGGAAGCAGAAAAGATCATGGCAGAGCTACATGAAGGTACCTTCGGAACGCATTCCAGTGGACACACTATGGCAAAGAAAATCCTTCGGGCAGGATATTTATGGTCCACAATGGAAGCCGACTGTTACCAACATTCTCGGACATGCCATAAGTGCCAGATATATGCTGATAAGGTGCATGTTCCCCAAGTTCCTCTGAATGTCTTGACAGCACCTTGGCCTTTTGCTATGTGGGGTATTGACATGATCGACGAGATTAAACCTACGACATCCAACGGGCATCGTTTCATCCTGGTGGTGATCGATTACTTTACAAAATGGGTTGAAGCAGCTTCCTATGCCACTGTAACCAAGAACGTCGTGGCACGGTTCATTCGACACAACCTGATCTGTCGATATGGCGTTCCGGAAAGGATCATTACGGACAACGGTACCAATCTCAATAACAAGATGATCACTGAGCTCTGCGAGCAATTCAAGATACAGCACCACAACTCTTCTCCTTACCGGCCGAAGATGAACGGGGCTGTAGAAGCGGAAAATAAGAATATCAAAAAGATTATGCAGAAGATGACGGTGACCTACAAAGATTGGCACGAGATGTTACCGTTTGCTCTTCATGGGTACCATACCTCAGCAAGGACGTCAACCGAGGCAACTCCCTTTTCCTTGGCCTATGGCATGGAGGCAGTCTTGTCGATTGAAGTCCAGATAATTTCGGCAGATGATTTTCCAGAGGACCTCGGCAAAAGGTAGTTCACAATAGAACCTCGACAGTATATTCCCCTGGTTAATCTCGACAGATGATTTTCTAGAAGACCTCGGTAGAAGGTAGTTCTCAATTGAATCTCGATAGTAGATTCTCCTGGTTAATCTAAGCAAATGATTATCCAGAGGACCTCGGCAGAAGGTAGTTCAAAATTGAATCTCGGTAGTAGATTCCCCTGATTAATCTCGGTAGATGATTTTCCAGAGGACCTCGGCAGAAGGTAGTTCACAATCGAATCTAGACAGTAGATTCCCCTGGTTGATCTCAAAAGTGGATTATCCAGAAGACCTCAGCATAAGGTAGTTCACAATCGAATCTCAGCAGTAAATTCCCCTGGTTGATCTCGGCAGTGGATTATCTAGAAGACCTTGGCAGAAGGTAGTTCACAATTTACTGTCGGCAGTAGATTCCCTTGGTTGATCTCGACAGTTGATTATCCAGAAGACCTCGGTAGTAGGTAGTCATAAATTAAATATCGGCAGTAGATTTCCTATTAAAGAGCCTCACATCAATCATGACGTACACATAACCATATCAAAGTCTCAAGGTCATTCATAACATTTGGTGCATCTAACATACGAAAATACCAAAGTGAATTTGATAAAACATCAAAGTTTACTCTGGTTAGAAAAATGACGAAAAGGTCCACGTCTACGTCCATACTTACACCCACGCTTATAGTACAAATATTAAGATCCTACAGACACTCTTCATCTTATTCAAATAAATTCAAAGATACCACAACATACAACGTCAGAGAGGTGGTAACACAAAACCAATGGTTTAAAATGAGAGAATATCAAAAACATTTTTCATAATATTTTGGGGCATATACACATATTTTGTACATATGTAAATATTTGGGGCATACACAAACGCATATACACCCTGGATTTCACATCAATCTAGGACATTGTGCCTATACATCATACATGGCATTTTTCCAAACATACTTTGGGTGAAACTAATATCTTAAGGCCCTTTGTCAATTTAATAAAACAATCATTTACCTTGGTTAAGAACATACACAACCGGTAAAAAAAATCCGATCTCATCTTTGATCTAGTTATCTAAGATTTGATCATCAAAAAACAGTTTTTTTATCTGTGATATAACTCATTGCACCAGTCTCCATGCATCAATGTGTTATCAATCTTTTTCAATCATCTACCCCTAGGTTGTGGTAGGTGTGCGAATTACTGGATTCATATTGTTCATTACCTAGGTTGTAATGAATACACGAATTCATCTTTGTGCCGTTTTCCCCCTAGGTTGTGGTAAACGCACAAGCTTTTTCAATTATCTATCCCCTAGATTGCGATTGATATGAGAATCTTTAGGATTATATTATTCATCCCCTAGATTGTGATGAATAAAGTAAGTCCACTCTTGTTGTCTTTTATCCTTTATGTTGTGATAAATACATAATGTGCTTTTGAACAAATCTCAAAAAATCCTCACCAAAACAATAACAATGGACTTGGGTACCTTTGTATCATGATTCAAAAAATTTATCACAGATTTCTTACAGGTTCATTAGGTTCATTAGGAGAAAGAAGTTTAAAAAAATACATGATTGAATGGTTAACAATCTCATCAATAATCCAAGTATATTTTGTGTTGCCATCTTTTGTTTGTGGTGCATGTATTGATTATCATTGTTCAATCACCGAGTTACTCACTTCACAACGACCTCCCACCTACGGAGCCAACACCGTCCATCCTTCTTCCTCTATGCAACCCCTCAACCACATGACATCCTCCGCCTCAAATCCGCAACCGTATGCTACAGCTACCTTGACGGTAACGTCCTCCCTCCAGCGTACAAAACCCACCGCGAGCACCATCTCCGATCCGAGCTGCCTCAGCCGCAGGGCATCGCCACATCTAGGATCCCTCTGTCGCCGACATGAAGACGATCTTAGTCAGATGTCGTTCCATAACTCCAACCACCAGGCCTCTTCACCTCTCCTCCACGAATCACACATCACCTACTCGCACAATCTTCCACCGTTCTCGACTGAGCGTCACCCTAACTGACAACAACCATACGCCGTCCCAGCCTGAATCGATACCGCCACCGTGCATCCTGCATCTCCGCTAGAGATCTCTTTCTCTGATCAGCCTTGCCATAGCTCATGCAGCCTTAAGAAGAAGATGAAATAGAGAGAAATAGAACGGAGGTGAGAGAGGAGAGAGGGATTTGTTATCTGTTTCTATTCTTTCTCAACTTCTAATATTTTTGTTGTTTACATTTTTTTTATATTTTTGTTTTAGTTAGTTAGCATTAGGACTAAGTAGAATTGGGCCTTAAGCCCTAAACTTTACCCCCTCCATTTTCTAATTTTCACACCTCTTAGGTTTATTCAATTTTAATTAATTATTTTCTTAGATAATAAGTTATATTACTTAGTGTGATCGGTGGAAATAGAACTGACTGTTTTTGGAATGCTGGTTCGCGAAATGTCGCGGTAAGCAAGAGTCGCCACCGTCTTTTATGTTCTCCAACAAGGAAAGGACAAAAGCACAGCAAAATTCCTTTTCGAGATGTTTCTCGGTTTGGGAGGTAGATTTATAGAAAGGGAAGGTGTTAGCACCCTTTCTATCCGTGGTTATCCACGGGCTCTTAGGTACTTGCTCACTATGTTTTAAAAAATTGTTTGCTTTTCTTGTGTTTGTGGGTTTTGAAAAAGTTTAGTTTGAAAACTTCTAAGTAACTCTTGTATCAGTCCTCAAGAGTGTATGAAGTATTGTTTGAAAACTTTTTGAAAGTGTAAGTGCGAAAAGTATTTTTTGTTTTTTTGAAAGAGCAAGTACCCAGGAGAAATCTACCTACTCTAAGGAATTAAGTTGTGTAAGAGTTCTTTAGACAGTACTATCCCACTATTGAGAAGTAGGTAGCACCGTCGTTGGAGTTATTCGGGTCAATTCGATTATAGGGACATGTGTGGTCACCAAAGCAATAGTAGGACGCCTTAGCGGTAACCCTAATGTCCTAGATCCTTTTTATCCGAGGCAACCGTTTCGAGGCAACTTGGATCTTTAGACAGGAGGGCGACCTCTAAAACACCATATACTCAATGACCACGTCGAGGCAACCAAGTGAGGCGTACCTTAAGAGTGGCATGTGCGAGTGTGTCAGGTTTCATGTTAAGTTTATCTTTGCACATGTTATTGGTGAGCTACGAGTTGGTTTTATTTATTCAAGCAAATCTTGTCATGCATAATTAACAGTTAATATTTGTGCGGGAAATAAATTGCGGAAAGTGAATCTACGCTATTACAAGGCGTCAGGTATTTACATCGCCAAAAACATAACCCTTGAAAATAAATGCGAGAAATTAAAGAAAGCGATAAAAGTCCTAATTATCTATTACATTCTCGAAACAGATACAAAAATATAATCCAAAATAAATATGCGCAAAAAGAAATTAAATCGGGGACGTCCTTAGGGTTTTGACCCTTTTTGAGAAAAGAATGGAATTTTGGTCCTTTTTGCAATTAATTAATATTAAACCTAATTTACTAATTAATTAAATAATTACAAGAAAAAGTATTTTTGTGTTTTTTATGTCTTAATGAAAAAAAATAAAATGGATCAAAAGTTGTCAAAAACCTAATTCTACTTTATTTTATTTGTTATAAAAAAAATCAAAGTTAACCTAATTAAAAGAAGACTAAATCAATTAATTTACATTTATTTACAAAAATAATAAACTAAGGCGAAATTAATAAATAATCATAATAAAAATATTAGTTTTCTGAATTTTATTAGGAAAATAATTAATTTGTTAATTATATACTAATAATAATAATAATTAAAGTAGAATAATTAGTGAAAGAAATAAAAAATATAAAGAAAGAAAGAAAAAGAACCCAGGGGGTGTTGGCCCAGTAGGGAGGTTTGTTCTGGAATCTGAAGCCCATTTGTTTCTCAAGCCTGTTTGACTTTCTTGATTGGCTGTACGTTCATTGACTGGGAGCATGGTGTTCTTCATCTCTTGGCCATTGGATCTAGGCTTAAGGACACATGGCGCCTGAGATTTGAAAGTGTATGGTGGAATTCATTTGGGAATCTGCACATAACCATGTTAGGAAAAATATTATAGAGTTTTGGGTGGACCTGGGATTCGAACCCAGGTCCCAATGATATACAGCCAACACACCCACCACCAAGCCATCTGCACGCATTTGTAAATATAATGGACAATGAATATATTATATAAAAACAACAACATATGCTGGAAATAACAAAACGCGCGCTATTTTTTGAATTGGCTAATCATGTGATAACACGTATTCGTCTTCTTCCTTATGCCTGCAAAAAAACAAATTAGATAGCGGGGGTTTTTAACCCCCACAAAACAGGATGACCAATAATAGCGAATAGCCCTACAGGCTATATAAATATGGCGCGATGGTTGGGTTAAATTTGCCTGGTTCTCAGGATTACAACCATAGGTCTTAGAGGTCTCAATTTTGCTGGATCTGGAAAGCCCTAATTCACGAACTCAAGAACCCTAGAATTCTCCAATGGCAACTCACGATTCTGTACACTATAATCCAATTAACCAATACCATTAGCTTTGTATAGGTTCAAGCAATGCAAAACAATGATTAGCACATGTTAATTATGCATAAAATATGAGTTTCGATTCTAAAAACGTTAAGCAAACCGTGGGTATGTGAATGGTGATTTCTTGAGCTTTGGTGTGTGGTTTTGATTGCAAAAGGTCCCTGGGAGTTCCTGCAAGGTATTAGAAACAAGAAAAAGCTTTGAATCACGTTAGAATGTGGAATTCCGTTTTCACTTTTCTTTGATTTTTTTCAATATGCTTATGGCTTTTCTGCAACAATTCTCACGTCCAATGCATTAGGGTTGACTTGTATACTTATAGTAGAATGGAATTAGGTTAAATCTTGGCCAATAAATCCATGGAATTGATGTTTGTATATTTGATTGAAAATCAAATATTTTTCAATCTTTTTGATTGGAAAAACTTTCCAAACTTGGAGATTTTTGTCCCATTGATGTGCACACGAATTTGCCAGCATATATTGAGCTTGTTTGCTTCACAAAAGATTGAAAAAACCATATCTTTGAATTTCATAAGTCATGGACAAAGTTTCAAGAAGGAATTTGAGGCCCATTAGCAAAAACAAAGTGTTTTGGACAAAGTTGACTTTTGCAAATTCATAAAAATTTCCCAACTTCTCCAATGCATATCTTGCTCAATTTTGATCATATGAACATGTTCCTTGACATTTTGGAAAGGTCTTGAAGTCCTATAACCAATGCCTTTGGTCCTATGTCATTTGGATTTATCAATCTCAAGTTATGGTCTTTGACTTAAAGTGCATTTTTGTTGACTTTTGAAATTGACCTATAATGTAGAAATTGATAACTTTTTGTGAGAGCATTTATTGGACTTGTAATATGAATATGGATTGTAGGAAATGTCATCCCCTTCAAAATGAGCATTGGATGGGATTTTTCTGATGAACCATGAAAAAGTTATGCCCTGGTCAAGATACAGTTGACTTTTCTGCTGTCCAAAAATAGTAACTTTTGGCATCTTGATGATTTTTGAGCCATGCTTATGGAATCATGATCAAGACTTGATCAAATGACGATTGTGAGCTCAAAATAAGATGTTGACCAAAAATTCTGACTTTTGATTACAAAATGACCATTTTGCCCCTGCAGTTGACTGTTGAGCAAATAGGGCTTTTGATTGTGGAATTTGACCTTGTGAGTCTTGAGACTTGTCATGTGGATGATTGACAATATATATAGGCCTATGGGACGTGATTGAGCCATTGAAAACCTTAAATTCATTGAAGGAACCAAAACCCTAATTTTGACTGGCTTAGGAGGTGGTTTGGACTGTGCAATCCTTGAGTAGACTTGAGCAATTTGAAGATGACCCTTGACAAATCTTGAAGAATATGGGAGGGAAAATTTTGGGGTACAACAGTTGCCCCTGTTCAATCTTCTTAAACCCGAGGAGGTAGATTGGCTTGCGTGCCTTTCGTGATCCGAAGGTGGAAGATGATTGAACACTAGAGTGCCCAGAAATTTGCACTCGCATGGTGTAGTATCAGCAATGTGATGTCGGGAATGGGCTTACAGATGCCATTTGGAGATATGATGGATAGGAGTGGAGATGGGCTTAAAGATGTCATCCAGGGGTGTCGATCGCGTAAGAGATTCCTTAGCGAGAACTTGCGTACCTGAGAAAGAAAGATAATTTCCTGGCCTGTTACAGGTGTTGATCTTCAATCTCGTCATGCAAATACTTTCCTAGCTAGTTACAGGTATAAACCTACAATCAATCACTCACAGACATGCCCTGGCTAGATACATGTATCGAATCTGGAACTTCCAAAGGTTGGTCGAGATAGCTTTCCTGGCTGAATACAGGTGTAGATCTCTTCATGCAGATGCTTTCCTGGCTAGATACAGGTGTAGATCTCTTCATGCAGATACTTTCCTGGCTGGTTTCAGGTATAGATCTACAATCAATCGCTCACAGATATGCCCTGGCTAGATACAAGTATCGAATATGGAACTTAAGGTTGGACGAGATAACTTTCCTGGCTGGATACAGGTGTAGATCTCTGACCTGAGAATGAAAGATAGTCTTCCTGGCTGGTTTCAGGTATAGATCTACAATTAATCGCTCACAGATATACCCTGGCTAGATACAGGTATCGAATCTGGAATTTTGGGAAAGAAAGATGGCTTCCTGGCTTGCTACAGGTATTAATCTTCAATTTCTTCAACGTAGATAACCTACCTGTCTGGTTTCAGGTATAGATCTACAATTAGTCGCTCACAGATATGCCCTGGCTAGATACATGTATCGAATCTGGAACTTAAGAAGGTTGATGATAATCATCTTTGGATTGATCTTTTCCTGAAAAGGCAAAACATTAGCTGTATGCAATGTCATGATATATGGAATGCATGCTGTCATGATGTTCTCAAAAATAATTGAGATCTTGTCGTATGCACTTTATCATGTATGTAAATAGGAGATATGAAATATGAAATGTTTATGAATGTATTTTCGTCTTGGGAAAAT